CAGCATTGTGATTTCTGTCCCCAGCTTGGAGCAGGAGGAGCCAATATTCCCTGTGGCGAGTTGTACTAGGGCTGGACTTTTAACTCCTGTATTTCTAACTGGCCTCTGAGGGTCAGTTTGGCTCCTGGTTCCGGGAGTTATTCCTGGAGGCCCAGCTCACTCTTCCAACCCTTCTGACAATTTTATAGGTACTTAGTTCCCTGCGTTGTCTTGTTCTACTTAAAATAGCTAGAGTGGTTTCTGCTTCCTGTATATGAGCCTCGACTGATATCGCTGCTTTAATAACTGTAGAAATGTGGAGTTGATCCATCGGTTGGCTCATTAGTGCATTTTCTACTTCTTGCTTCTATAATACATATGCTCAGGTTTGTCTGTGGTCATTTTCCATGCTCATTGGAGAGAGTTGGGAAAGGGAGGAAACCCTCCAAGAGAAGGTTTACCAAAGTGAATTCCTGAATTTGGAACGACCACATGAAAGAGAAGGACAAAGATGGTGCCAGGTCCTTTCTTGGGGATGTATTCTCTGAGTTTCACGGTTACTGCTTACTTCTGTCTTGAAACCTTATTTTCTATCATCCTTTATTTCTGAATGTCTGCATATTTTCTTTTAAGTCTGCCGATCTGGAGTTTTCTGCTATGTAAATATTTCTGTGTAAGCCCCTCATTGCTAACTTCTAAGTCCAGGAAAATTATCCCTATGCCAAAATCATGGCTTTTTCTTTTGTGCCATTTAATTCCAGGACAGTGTAGATATGATTTTACCAATTTTATGTTTGTCACTTGTCAATTAATAAGGAGCAGAAAAGTCATTTTGGAGTTAAATTAAGAATGTCATGGGATTTGCTTAAAACTATGAAATTTTAGTTCCAAAAGGGACTTTGGTTTTCATGTGGAATTTTTCTCTTCACTTTATTTATTTTATTTTATTTTATTTATTTTCAGAGACAGGGTCTTGCTCTGTTACCTGGCTGGAGTGCGGTGGCACATCATGGATCACTATAGCTTCAACTCTTTGGCTCACGTGATCCTCCTGCCTCAACCTCCCGAGTGGCTGGGACCCCAGGCATGCACCACCATGTCCAGCTGATTTTTTAATAATTATTATTTTTTTGTAGAGATGGAGTCTCCCTATGTTGCCCAGGCTGGTCTTGAACTCCTAGGCTCAAGTGATCCTCCTGCCTTGGCCTCCCACAGTGCTGGGATTACAGGTGTGAGCTATTGTGCCTGGCCCTTTCTCCCCATTTTAAACATGAGTAAACTGAGGGCCAGGGAGATGTACAGGAAAATGTTCTCAAGCACACAGGGTGACTGTGGCAGAAACAGGCTCAGAGCAGAGTCACGACTTTGGGAGGTGTTCTTTCTGCGTGGCTGAACTCACGGAAAAGGCTTTGTCGAACTTACTGACTTATTGTAGGTTTGAGACTATGCACATGATAAGCGTAAACTGTGTTTTTTCCCTCTCTGTTTTTACTGTGTGCACATTTATTTATCAAGAGATTTTCTAAATACAAATGTATTTTTCTAATGATAGGAAATGGCATGTTTGGATTCTTTTTAAGGACCACTACAATGCTAAATTGTCTTTAGTGCAGGAACACTTGCTAAATATTTAATATAAATAATTCATTTTTAACCATTGATTTTTTGGGCTGATATTAATTATCATCATAATTTATTTAAAGAGCACGAGAGACATCTAAGATAGTTTAAGGGAAGTCAGAGGTCATGCTACAGGGTCAAGGGCAAATTGGCTTCAGTTCCTTTGGTTATGTCCTGAATGTGCCAGGTGGTGAAACTGAGTTACCGGGAGGAAGCCGCATTTCAAGTGAGTGACCACTGAGGCGTGGGCAGCTTGCTAAGGGTTCAGCTGACTTTGTTGAATTTTTAGAAAATGAGAGTTTAATGAATTCCAGATGAAGAGATTATTCACTCTGCAATGTTTTAAATCCTCTTTACGAAGCACGCAGAACAGCACTGTATTCGATCAAGACTTCGGTAGCAGCTTGCTGATAAGGCTGTTTTCCAGTGTTGAGATGTGAAGGATATTTGGATAGAAAGGATAGACTTAGGCTGGAGAGTCAGAATTTCACGTACAACGTGGCCATCTTGTTGTCCCCTCCTTTCAACAGAGGGCCACACATGCCAATCCTGTTGGCTACAATCAGTCCTGCATGAGGTGTTACAGGGGATGCCAAGAGGACAGAACCCTGTTTTCAAGGAGGATTTTCTTCTTTTGGGGTGACAAGACTACTTGTACATGGCTCCGGCAAAGAAAAACCATGTGATAACGGATGGTGATGACTGCAAGGGGCAGTGAAGAGGGTCAGAGAAGGGAGGGGGGCCAGTGAGGGCCAGTGGTTCTCACATCTCATGGCTCACCATCTGGAAATACTTCTGATTGTCACAACTTGCAGGGAGGCTTGTGCTGCTGGTATTGAAGGATGCTGTTAAACATCCTGCAATGCACAGGACAGGCTTCCAAAACAAACAATTGTCCTGCTCAAAATACCGATGGTGCTAGGCTGGAGAGACCCTCGTGTGGGCTGAACTAACGTGTCAGGCTTTATGGAGGAGGTGAGATTTAATCTCCCTTTTCATTCATTCCTTCTTCTATTTGTTCAATATTTATTTAGTGCCTACTCTTAGCCAGTGTCTGTTTTGTCCCGGAGATATAGTAGGGAATGAATCAAAGTAGCTCTGTGGCCAAAGTAGTTCTTAGGTTTAGTGTGAAAAAAATACAGTTTGGGAAAAAATTAAGGTATGATGATTATGTTGATGGGGGAGCAAAGGTGCCCAGGGAACCCACCACAGGAAGACCCATCTCAGCCATGAGGTCAGGAAGGTTCTTCCAAAGTGAAATATTTCTTCAACCACAACCGGAGGGGTAGTGGGAGATGGTCACATGGGGGCACCTGAATGAGTGTGTGTCAGGAGACGGGATGCAGAGCGAGCAGCATTGTTTGAGGCAGATGGAGTAGCTTGTGTAAAATTTGGAGGAGAGCGAGAGGGTAGTGGGGTGTGGTCCTGCACATCAGAGATGCCAGGAGGAGAGCAGAGAGATGAGGCTACAGAAGTAGACAGGGACCTCTACTGGGAGTGCCTGAGTTAGTTAAGAGTTCAGATTTCATCCTAAAGACCCTAAAAAATATTGAAGACTTTAAAAGTCTTAAAGCAGTGGAGTGACAGATCAGATTTAAGTTCTGGGAAGTTCAGTCCAGCTGCAGCGTTGAGGTGAGATTGGAGGAAAACCAACTAGGGCATGGAGGTCATTGAGGCTGATGGGCTGGGAGGGGCAAGAGAGGCCTTCGGAGCAGCGTGGTGAGGATGGCAGTGGCCAAAGCAAACCCATATGCTGAAGAGGCAGAATGCAGGGCACTTACTTGAAGCGAAATAGGAGGGAGGTGGCAAGGAAGATGTTCACATTTTTGCCTGGGCAAGTCAAACGTTTTGGGTACCATTTCCAGGGTGCACTAGACAGGGTGCTGGCTTCTTCAGTAGCAGCTGGAAGAATGTGAATAATATTGCAGAATGATGTTGAGTACCATTTTGGACACAGAGTTTGAGCTTCCTGAGGGACATTCACTCAGATTTGTTTACTGACCCCAAGAGATGATTGTTTGAGAGTCACGGTTGATAAGGCTGTGTAGGGGAGGCAGAAGAGAAGAGCTCTGAGAAACAAAATGTTCAAGGACAGGTTTGCGGGAGGAGCTTCCAGAGGAGGGGCTGGAGTGGCAGAAGCCAAACCAGAGGGAGGTGGCATCCAAGAAAATAAGAGTAAGTTGGAGAAAGAGGGAGTGAGATGCACTGTCCTGCCACTGGCTGTTGTTCAGGATAATGACTCCAAACCTTCCATGCCTGTGAGGACATGAAGGTCCCTGGTGATCTTGAATGAGCCGTCCAAATGGAGCATTGGATGTGGAAGCCAGGCTGGACGGGATCAAGGAGAAGAGGGGAGCAGAGGGCAGAAATGGGTGCTAAAGCAGCTGTAGCCGGAGGTCTGTTCAAGTCACTTAACAGCTGTTATAGCAATGGGCACGTGCCCGGTGGGATGGCTGCAGGCAGGGAGAGCTGATACCAGACCTGGCTGTAGTTCTGATGGACACAATTTCCAAAATAAAAGAGGACAGCTTAAAAAAAATTTTTAAAAACATATAGTGTAGGGAAAAAGAAAAGATAGAAACTCTGGAACATGTGGTTACCAAGTGGTGGTTCATTTGGCGTAGTAGATACAGGCAGGAGGGACCAAGATAATGTCAAGGTCGTTGAAGGGTGAACTCAAGTCATGTTTCTTAATAGTCACACCGTTGACATGCTGGTATTTATACCTGTAATGTAATTTGGAGCACTTCTGCTGGAATTTATTAGCTAACAGAAGTAAATGCACTGGAAAGATGAATCTTTCTATATATTTTAGATAGTGTATACATTTTACCTAGCAAGGCACTTCCGTTAGCACAAAAAATAATGGCCTTTTTCAACAAGATGACTGTCACAAAGAAAAAGGTGTAGATAGTCAAATGATTTATTTCCCCATCCATGTTTGAGTTTATTCATGGGGAAATTCACCTTGTGAACTAATAATTTTCTGGGCTAAGAAAAATCAGCAGGTATTTTTCTTTTTAGGAAATGCTTCTTTTGTATTTTTATTTTATTTTATTTTTTAGAATGGGCTTTCTTAGGCTTAAAAAATCATCTAAGTCTATGGCTTTGATATCAAGGAAAAGGCTTCTTTCAATTGCTTTAACCTTTGTGAAAAGGTGACCTATAGAGATAAATGTTCTCATGCTGAGAATCAGGACTGTCTTTAGTATGTAGAGTAATATAGGCAGAACAGGAAACAGACCACTTTCTTGAAGTGGTTTAAGAAAAATTCAAGATCCCGGACTGAGGAAAGGAACGTTTTTGGAAAGGTCAGGCTTAAGACCCATACCCTAGGCAATCAAATATAAATAAATAAATAAACAAACAAATAAATAAAATAAACCTCACTCTCATGGCAGGTTGTGGATGATACCAGAACAGAGGGTGGACCAGGCCAGAACCAGGAACCCAGGAACTAGCTAAGAAGGAGGATTCTGGTAGGTTATTATTATTTTTCTTTTGGGCAAAAAAAGGGTCAAATTCATGGAGACCAGGGAAGGCAGTGGGGTGTGGACTGGCTTTTTGGCCTCAGTGGGCAGGGCTCAGCTTGTGGGAGGTCAGAGGAGTTCGAGTAGAGCCCACATACTTGGGGGTCTCTCAATTTCTGGTTGGAGGTACAAGTAGCCCCATCCCCTGCCTCCCTCACCTTCCATTCACCCGTGGTCCTCCGGAGTCCTCCATTGGGTCCTCAGTAATGATGCTCAAGGACCTCTGCTCAGATCAGCAGATGGCCCCTTCTTCCTGTGCCTCTGGCCACCTTGTGCTGCTTCTCCCTTCTGTTGCTTCTTCCCTGCTCCCGGCCCTCTGCTCACCTCCCACAGCTTCTTGCCATCTCTCCACCACCTGCCGCCACCCTGAGGGCTTAGCAGCTCATTCCTTTTCTTGACCCTGACTTGGGCTCATACTCATTTTCTGCTCTCAGTCTACCTCTTCTTGACTTTCATAACTCACCTGTACCTCCTGGACTCGGACATTGGCCATGAGGAATTTCTAGAGTTTTATCATTCCTGCTCACATGCCAGCACCTTGAAATGGTATTAATTATGAAAACAGGTTTTGTCCATTCCAGGTGGCATGTCTAGTCCAGAAGGAGTATCATGAATTCCCAAATGTCTCTTATCCTACAGAGAAGGAATCTCTGGCAGGCGAGGATGTGAGCAGGGAGGAGGATTTGGCGCTCAGGGCTTTGTGACAGGTCCTGTACACACATCACATCCAGAGCAGCTTACCTCTTGGGGTAGAGACTATAACATCTTCCTGCTTACCCGTGGGTTCCCCGCTTACCTGTGGGATCCCCCACATTTCCCAGGCTTCCTTACAGGCAGGATGAGTGATGGGGCGCGCCAGAAGTGTGGGCAAAAGTGATTAAGCCCAGCTCTTAAAACCGTCCCGAGTGACCCTCTCGTCCTCTCTTCTCTGGCTGTGGCAGCCTCACCTGACACTTGCCCCAGATGGTACCTATGGCTGCAGGATGCAGGAGCACCGCTGACCCACCAGACTCCATGAACAAAGAGGCTTCTTGCTGTTCAGCTGCTGCACTGAGTCTGAGCTTTCTTGCTGTGGCAATGAGCATCGCTGAGCTCTAACTGAGCTCATGTCTTTTGAGATTATTTTCAGAGAATCTAAACAGAGGAAGTGCATTTTCCTCCTGATCAACTGACATGCACGTTATGCACGTTCAGCTCGGCACTTCTGCTCAGGATTTGGGATTTGGAAAAATGCTCAAATGACAGAGATGTCCTCACCTGTGTCCCTACCCCATGTCATAGTCTTCTGAGCCTGTTGAACAGTTGGCATTACTGAGCACTTTGCAGAGGCTGAACAGAGCAGCAGTTTCTGTTTTCCATGAGCTCTTGGTCTCAGGTTTCTGGCAGATGGTGGCCAGGGTTTCTCAGGCGAATGTTCTTGGATGAATGCACGATGCTGACTCTCTGGAACCCTCATTTGGTGACACATGCTATTTTCATGAAATGGTACGTTTATATACACACTTCCCAGTATAAGGAGAGCAGGTCAGGATGGAGTCAAAGACAGGTTCTTCAATATAAAGGGGCCACCCAGGGGATTTGGTTAAAGTCCAGGAAATCCCGAAGCTGGATTTTGGTGAAGACCCATGCTGCCCTTCTCCAAACCAGGGACCTGGAAGTCTGAATTCAGATACTCCTATTTGCCTCTAATGGGGATTTTGGATTATATTTGCTGTGGGGAGAGAAAAAGAACTTATTTCATGTTGGCCACTTAATGTTCAGGGCAAACAGGGAGAAACAACTACTTACTTGAATCTTTTCTCTTCCTGTCCACCTCCTCATGGTATGACCTTGACTGTGATCTCCTGACCTTGGTGGCTTTTGCCTGCTACTCCGTGGGGGTAGCTACAGCTGTCTTTAGCCTGAGAGGCTACTACGGAGCAGAGGAAACTTGTGTTGCATCTTCCTTTCTAAAGCTTAAGGCATGGGCACACTGAAAAAGTCAATTGGTCACGTACCCAAGCCAATTTGGTCACGTACACAACTTGGTTTCTTTTTGGTAGGTTCAAGAAGCAGCTAAGGAAGTTTGAAGCAGGTGAAGGCTGGCTCGTCCCTTGACTCTTTGCTCCTCAATTTTTATGACAGCAACTCTCAAAGCAGCTTCAACCACAAAAAAACACTTATTAAAGGAGCATTAATTTGCTGGCAGGCCCCAAAGTGCTCATCAACCTGTGCTGTAAGCTTAATGAAGTCCAGCTCCTTGTCTCTTAGGTGCTCAGAGTTCCGCTGAACAGAGGGAGCCAGAAGGCAGTGCCAAGGCTGTGAAAGCAGATCCTGTCACCCCTAGAGCTGGCATCAGGCATACAAGATCCTCCAAGTTTAAGGACCTAAAGTCCTTATATAGTAGCCTATTAGGCTATTTTAGAAGGCTATATAACACATCTCCACCAAGGAAAAGGGTCTGGGCATCATTAGATTCTTCTTGCAAAGGGTAGGGAAGATTTCTTGAATATTTTAACGAATCCTTATGCTACGGTTTGACTGTTGATGTCCTCTCCCCGGAATTAACATGTCGAAACCTGATCTCAAATGCAGTAGGAGCAACAGGTGGGGCCCTTGGGAAGTGATGAGGTCCTGAGGGTGGAGCTCTCATGGATGGGAGGCATGCTCTTATAAAAGAGGCCTGAGGAAGCTATTTGACCTTTCCTGTAGCAACCGATTATGCCAGACAGGCCCTCACCAGACACTGAATCTGCCAGCATCTTGATCTTGAACTTCCCAGCCTCTAGAACTGTGAGCAATAAATTTCTGTTGTTTATAAATTACCCAGTCTAAGGTATGTTGTTATGGTAGTTATGGTAGCCAAAATGGACTAACACACCATATGGTTCGAATATCTTTAATGTCACCAATTATAGCCCATTTCTGATGTTTCTGATATGAAATCATTTTTGATATTCAAGAAAGCTTTTTAAATAACAAGAGTGCTCATAGTAGCTGCCCCATGTCTGGGCTCCTGACTGGAACTTCAGGGTCTACACGGGCTCTGAATTCTCAGTGAGGACGCCTGCAGCACACTTCATATGACACTGTATATCTGGAGTATTTAAAAGTAAGTCTAGACAAGGCAGTTAACAAAAGATGGTAAAGGGTGAGTGGAGGCTCTGCCTGCAGCTCCCTTTGCTGCTGTAGGTGACCTCAGGGCTAACAGCAGCAGCTGTTATGTGGGGCACATCACTGTTCCAAGTACCTTATGCTAATAAGACCCCTTTTCTGGGTTGTCTCATCTACTCCTCGTAATAATCCAGTGGAGCTGTCTTCTTAGCCCCATCTTTCAGATAAGGAAACTGTGGCCCCAAGAAGTTCTAAATTTTCTCAAGGTCGATACCTAGTGAGTGCAGAGATATTGACTTCAGTGGTCCAATGATAAGCCAGTGTGAAAGGTCTTGGCATAGGAGCCTCAGTTACCCAGCTAACCAGAGACAGTCTGTCGAAGTGGCTATATGTATGTTGGATTTAGACTGTCTACAGCTGTCCAAAACTGTTGTCTGGGCTTGTCCTTCATAGCAGCCCCCAACTGACCATCCCAGAGCTGTGACAGGGTGCTGCCTGAGCAGTGGATCTTTCTTCAGGTTTGTCTGTAGAGGCCTCCCTTGCCTGCTTAGACAACAGGATTTGGCCTTGCCATGTTTTCCTGGGGGCTCTCATCCCCTGGGTCACTTTTATAGATCCTGAGCAAGTCTTCATTTCTTACGGGCTTTACCCTTCTTCTCTAGGCCATAGCCATTTGTACCAATGCAATTTACTAGTGAATTTGATAACCTTCAGTTCACCAAAATTTTCGTATCAGCACATGTGGAGTGACCATATTGGTAGGGACAGTGTAGCATGGGGCCTGGACACCCAGGCCCTGGGACCAGCTGAGTCCCACTCTGGCTTGGCCACTTCCTGGCTATGTGACTGCTGAGCCAATTATTCCAACTCTCTCTGCTTCCATTTATTTATGTTGGAATGGGGGCAAGATAGTTCTTGCTTACAGAGTTGTTGGAGGATTAAATGCATTGATCTATGTGAGTATTTGCTCCCCAGCCAACTCAACTGAATGGATTTAGGGGGATATTTAAAGAATAAACTTCTATTCTTGAGTTCTTTTTTGCTGACCCAATGTGATTTGCTGGTTTAACACCACAGGCCAGTGTGGGAGATATTCCTTCAATTGCAGAGGATTTTGGGATGGTGGATGGATGGGAAGAGCCCACTGAAAGTGTCATGAAGAGATGCCTCCACAAGAAGCAGCAAATGTTGCCATGAATTTTCAGGCCACCGGTGGCTGACTTAGTTATCATCATCTTTATGTGAGTTTTACCTTGCTAAGTACCATTCATCAATTTTTGAATATCTAAGGTATTTGAGGTCGTTCATTCAAGGCAAAATGCTGAAAGTAAAAGCGAAATCAAGAACCCAGGGGCTTTGAAGGCTTTTCTCAACTCGCGGCCACATTCTGCCTTTAAAAGCACTGACTTGACTTTTACAAGAGCCTGTAGAATAATCTAACAGAAAATGGAAGCCAAGAGCACAGCGATTCCCTTAAATATTTCATATTGCATTTGGATGTGCATTTTTCAAAGATCATTTCCTTGACATTTTCTGGGGGTATATTTCTTGGGAAATAAAATAAATATGTTTGGTTGATGCTCATACCAATTTATTTAGAGCTATAAATAAGATAGAGATGCCTCCTGTCATTTGTACTAGAAAATATAAGGATCAGAGGAATATTTTAGGAGGACAGGGCAAAGGATTAATAATACTCTTCAGAATATGCTGACGTTGCTGATGCTTTAAGCTGTTTTAGCTGATCCTCATATGGTTTACTACCAAGAATTGAGAGAAACTGTGGTCAAAGCACAGGCCAGAGAAGAACCACAATACCCCAGACCTCACAATTCATTAGGGGCAGGAGAGTGACATAATTGGATTTTCTAGCTTTCTAGTCTGTGCACGTCACACAACCTCTCCAAATAATCATGTCGATTATCTGGTAGCCTGATCACTCTGAGTGCTTCCCTGAGGCCAGCAATGACCCTTAAAAGGTAAGAAATTCACTTATTTCAATTGGAGACTGATGTATGTATGCAAAGCTCCCAAAAGGAAAATGAGAGGAACTTACTTACTGCAATCCCCCGAGAATGAATCTATTCATGCGATGAATCTGTTGAATCATTGCATTGCTGCTGTGGGGCATATGATGGAAATGGCTTTCTGGAGAGTGTGGTTGGGGAAAGACGGATGTGTAGGTGCAGATAGCAAAGCCATAGGGCAAAGTATGTGACTTCAGGGCAAGTGACATCAGACCCTAGAAAGTTACTGGAAGTTCAGAGAAGAGGCCCCTCCATCCAAGTCTGGATTGAACTGGAAAGGATTTGGAAAGGTGAAGGGACACAGCAGGGCACAGAGGATGGGAAGATGTCACCTGGGTATGGAGGAGGAAGGTCAGATATCTGTGGCAATAGCAGAAGCAGGGGCAGGGACAAAGGAAAGCACTTTCAAATGTTAGAACAACCTAAATGTCCACCGATGGATGAAGGGATACAGAAAATATAGTATGACTGGGTGGGGTGGCTCAGGCCTGTAATCCCAGCACTTTGGGAGGCTGAGGTGGGCAGATCACTGGAGGCCAGGAGTTCGAGACAGGCCTGGCCAACATGGAGAAACCCTGTCTCTACTAAAAATACAAAAATTAGCTGGGCATGGTGGTGCATGCCTGTAATCCTAGCTCCTTGGGAAGCTGAGGCAGGAATATCGCTTGAACCCGGGTGGCGGAGGTTGCAGTGAGCTGAGATCGCGCCACCGCACTCCAGCCTGGGTGACAGGGTGAGAGTTTGTCTCAAAAAAAGAAATGTAGTATGTATACACAACAGAATATTATTCAGTCTTTTGAAAAAGGGAAATACTACCATGACAACATGGATGAATCTGAAGGGCATTAGGTTAAGTGCAATAAAGCAGGCACAGAAAGACAAATGCTGCATGATCTCACTTACGTGTGGGAGCTAAAATAGTGAAACTCACAGAAGCTGAGAGTGGAAGGGTGGTTGCGGGGGCTGGGACTAGGGGAAATGGGGAGATGTTGCTCAAAGGGTACAAAGTTTCGTTTCTGCGGGATGAATCAATTCTGGAGATCTAAGATACAGCAGCATGACTATGGTTAACAATGCTGAAATACTTGAGATTTGCTAAGAAGGCGGGCACTGAGCACGGAACAGCTTCTTAAGTGTTCTCGACTCGCACACACACTCTCACACACACAAACACATACCCCTCAAAATGGTAACCCTGTGAGTTGATGGATATGGTTGATTGTGGTGATTATTTCACAATGTGTATGTGCATCAAAACGTCAAGTTGTTCTTCTTCAATGTATATAGTTTTTATTTGGTATACTTCAATTACGCCAAAAAAAAAAAAAAAAACCAAAAAACTCAAAAACAAAAAAAGGGATATGCTGACAGGTTCCACATCATCCGGCAGGGAGAGCTGGTGGGGGCTGGGTGGAAGAAGGGGCTGGAGGGTGAGCAGACTCAGCTGCAGTCCTTGGCTTCCAGGGGCTCAGGTGGAAAGCAATAGTTAAATAAATCAAGTCAGGTATGAAATGTCTCAGGGGAGCATAGTCTTTTAAAGAACTCTTAAAATCCTTTTAAAAGTGAAGAGAAACCTTCATCATCTAAGTGTAATGTAAACAATAACTTGCAAATTCAATTATCTTCTAAGTTTAAGTTTTGTGTGTTGCTTGTTTTCTTGAATTAGGCAAAACCCAGCCCAATTTCCTGTATCTCGTCACTACAATAGCACCATCCTGAAAGAGAGTCAGGTATGGGGAGGAGAGGGAGCAATATCTGTTTAGTGGAAGAAAGAGCAGTGCTACCATGTTCTTATTTTATTTCAAGTTTTGTCTTAGAACTGAAAGCAAACTTTTTTATTCTTTTCACTTTTATGTCAGTATACCTAGGGTCCAAGTCACTTCAGAAATTTGGGAAGTTTTTATTTGCTAAGATGGCACCTAGCACTTTGGAAGCACTGATTTATTTGGAACCACTGATAAGTAGGAAAAAAAAATTGGTGTTGGTTTTTAAGCTTGAGACTCCCAGATGACCAATAGGTGGTTTGCCGGCCATAGTTCCCTTCTCTTTCTTGCCCAAGAGATTCTTCGTTTTAAAATCTGCTTCAGAATCCTTTTGAACATAGTACCCTGGGCAGTGACTGTTGGCTGAATTTGCCGTCAGGTGGAATCACGTTGCCTCCTTGCTTTGAGAAGAGGAGTGTTTCTCTCATTTAGTGCAAATACCCAGAAGACTAGTCCTAACACAGGTACAGGATCCCACTGTGCTGATTTAGTAGGGTTGGGGAGGAGCCTGAGAATTGGCTATTGATGGAAATGGCTTTCTGGAGAGCATGGTTGGGGAAAGATGGATGTGCAGGTGCAGATGACAAAGCCACAGGACTTTGGGGACCACATTTTGAGAACCTCTCCCAGACCACATAGGTCTGGGGGCTGTATTTTGAGAACCACTGTTTTGAATTTTAACAGAACCATCAATCGATGGCAGCTCAATATTCCCTTTTAATGAGGATCAGTCAGTGAAGAAGCCACTCGTTTATAATTTCCTTACATTTTCCCTCACTTCCTTGTTTTCTGTAGTTTTTCCTCTTGATTCTCTAGAATCAGAATGCTTTATAAACCTATGACCTCAAGTCAAGAAAATGTTATATTACAGGATCACTCATTTTTCTTTTTATTTGGCATTCAGGCACCATAGTACCTTAGCTGAAATATAAATTAATGTTGTAGAAAATGAAATGAGAAGATTCAGAATATTAGAAGAGCAGATGGGTTGGCAGAGTAGACTAAAGAAAAAAAATGTGCTGTAAGTTTAAGAAGAGTCTCGTTCACGTGAGGCTGAAGGTTAGTACTGATGGCGACCTGGCTGGTTATTGGGAATTTACATCATGTTTACAAAGCAACACACGCTGGGGGCTTAAACCACAGAAAATTATTGTTTCATGATTCTGGAGGCTGGAGGTTCAAGGTCAGGGTGTCAGAAGGTTGTCTTCCTTCTGAGGACTGGAGGGAGACTGTCCCAGGCCTCCGCAGCTTCTGGTGTTTCTCTGGCTGTCTTTGGTATTCTGTGGCTTGCAGACACAGCAGCCTGACCTCTGCTGCCTTCACACGGCATTCTCCCTGCTGTGTGTGTCTCTGTGTCCAAATCGTCCCTTTTTGGAAGGACACCAGATGTACTGGATTCAGGCCCACCTAATGACCTCATCTCAACTAATTACATCTATAATCACCCTATTTCCAAATGAGGTCACATTCTGAGGTGCTAGGGGATAAAACCTCAACATACGAGTTTTTCAGGGATAAAATTCAGCTCTTACCAGCACCCCTGAGCTTAGTTACTGCTCAAGCTGTCTGCAGGGGCCCTGGCCACCAGGAGGACCCTGAAGGGGTCTGGGGACAGCCACCTGGGAGCACTGATCCCAGCACCCACCTCCCTCTCACTGGCTTTGGGACCAGCCACAGATGCCACAGACAGTGTCTGGGTACAGGGTCCTGTCCATTTCCCTTCATGTTCTAACTTTGTACTTTGACTTGGAGATTATATAATCTCAAATGGGAAGACCAATTATTAAGCTTGTAGAAGGCATTTCTTTTTAAAAAGGCAGGACCTTATTATAACTGAGACCACAATTAAGGGTCCTATTAACCCTTGACTCTGAGACAAAGGCGCGAATCTTCTGAGATGAGGAGTCTGCCAAACATCTTCCAGGGAAAATAAAAGTAGCAAACATGTCAGTGGCTGCGAGGGGTCTGAAAGGGCTGCGATGATCTGAAATGCAACTTTGTTGCGCGCTGGGCCTGCCAAGGCCAGTTATATGGCTTACATTTTGATCTCAGGAGCCCTTGCTTTGCTTCCTGTGGTGAATCTTGCTCTGTATCTGTCAAGAGGATTATCTTGTTCATTAATGTGTCACTAAAATTTAAAATGTCACCTTTCTGATTCTCAGGTAATTATTGCTGACAGGTTTGAGGTATATTGTGAAAAGCAAGTTTTTCAGCAAAACTAGATCCCTGCAGAATACTGACAGGATGCGTGCCTGACTTTTAACTGCTCGTGTTCCTTAGATAACTAATTTATCATGGCACAAGGATTTGCGGGGCCCTTGCTTCTCTGTAATTTCTTTTTTGGGGGGATTTTTGTTTGTTTTGCTAATTTCTGAGTCTGAGAGTCTGTGTACTGGAAGGCTAGTGTTCTGTGGGAAATGGTTGCAGGAACGAAAGTCATTTTACTTCTGTTACTTTAGAACATCCTTCCCTGTTCTCCTGTTCCTGGGGGTGCTCAGGGCATCTACTGGGCTGAGAACTTTCAACCCTTACAGTGGGGGCCTTAAGACCTGTGGCTTGAGGCTCAGTGAGCAAGGGTAACTTGTGGACACCCAATGTCTGTTTTTTCTTTTTACCTCTTTCACCAGATTATTAGTTTCCTTTTTCTCAATAGGCTCTTTAAAGGGGATTGATAAGATCAATAGAGTAACAATGACTTCCCTACTCTTCCATTTCTAATTTTTGGGATGGCTTGGGGAACTCTGTGGTGGTCTAGCTTTCTTTTTTTTTTGGATTTTAGTGGAGATGG